AAAAAAAAAAAAAAAGAGACTGGTGAATAAAGGGGGTGGTTATGAAGCAGTAAATGCAAAAGGCAGGGGGTTTATTTTTTTTTTTGTTTATTTATATTTTATTTTATATTTGGAGGAGATTTATTTAGCGTGCGCTTGTTAGCATGTTTAAGATGTGTCACTTTGGGCTCGCAGTTTCATGCATTGCTCTGGCCACAAAACAAATTAAGGGTCTCCATCGATCCATTGCACAAACTGTTGAAGTTAAAATTAATTTTGATGACATTATTATCTTATCCGCTAATATTGCATCTCTCTTCATGTAGATTACATTATTATCTTTACTTGTGCCGATAATAATGGACTGGTTGAGTTCATGCGCCTTCTGGGGCATTATAGCTCTCTGGTCAATTGGTCAGTTTGCAAAAGAGCACCTTCATCCTGCATCACATTGTCGACCACTGGGCCCATTGGGTCCACGAGCGCACTGGTTTTGGGCGGAGCGATCTCCCCATTACCTATCTTGGTGTCCATCTGTATAAGGGCCACCTCTCGCATGAGCTCTTTACTGACGTCAGGCAGAGGATGATCGACACGATCTCCGGCTGGTCTCACATACACCTCTATTTTAGAGGTCGGCTTGCTCTGATCAAGAGCACCCTCAGCACCCTTCCGCTTCATCTCCTTACGGTCCTTGACCCCCACCAGTCTACTCTTCATGAGGTAGATCAGATACTGGCTCGTTATTTTGGGGACATGGGGAGGGCTCCCAGAGAGGGACACAGGTCCACTGGGTGAGGTAAGACTCCATTTGACGCCCACTCCCTGAGGGGGGCCTTAGGATTCGTCGCTTTTAAGATGTCGTAATTGCATTCTCTTAAGATGCGGTAGCGCTTTAGGGAGGGTAAGTCACTTTAGGGATGGGCTAGGGATAGACTAGAGAGGATTTTGGGTTATGGAGCTGGCTTTAGTGATCAGGCGATAGATGAGATCCAGCAGATTCCCATCTCGGAGGACGATTTGAATGGTATGAGATGGAAACTTACATCTTCGGGTGCATTCTCTACGACCTCGGCTTGGGGAGAAGTACAGCTCGGTGACCGGCCTAACCTTCTCTTCAGGGACATCTGGACCGACCTACTTACCCCTACCATCTCTGTTTTTCTATGGCGCTTACTTTTACGCTGCCTACCGATTGATACTGTGATGTAGGCGAGAGGGTTCTCATTCCCTTCGCGTTGCTATTGTTGTGTTGAGACCGGTGATTTTCAGACGTAGCCCTTCACCCATTTGTTTTTAGAGAGCGAGACTGTGAGGAGAGTGTGGGAGCATTATACTAGTTACACTCATATCCCCCTACCCTCCACAGATCCGTTCTTTGAGCTCCTGAGTTTTTTCAGACACAACACACACTAGACACGTTGGCTTCATTATTCCTTGTCTGATCCGGTAGGCCACCTGGACAGAAAAGAATAATGTGAAGCATTAGGATAACACTTTTTTGTGTTCCCAAATAATTTGGCAGGTTGGCCGGCACCTCTCTCTCTCCTCACCGCTTTGGGCAGAATCACCCGTAGAGACTGGACAGGCTGCACGCCATCCCACCGTCTTGCACCACCTCCGCTGGCGCCTGTCCAGCATCCATGTCCCAGAGCTGTTGTTTGGCTGAAACCCAAGTCTTCTTGGGTTAAGCTAAACATTGATGGAGCATTTGACTGACTTACTGGAGTTGCAGGAGGTGGGGGCCTGTCTAGGGACCATAGCGGCGCTCTCATTACCGTTTTTCATGCCCCTCTTCGGGCCACTTCGAGCTATGACGCCGAGGTTCAGGCGCTTCAGATTGCCACTTCGATCGCCTCTCACATTTGGATAGAGTTGGACGTTGTTGCTGTCATTACTCTCTTGTCATCTGGCCATCAGGGCATGTGGCAGATTCAGTACCCCCTCATGCGTATCAGAGCCATTCTTTGGTCGATTTGCTCTGGGATCTCACACATCTTTCGCGAGGGGAACTGACCTGCTGAATTCTTCACTGGTATCGAGTCCTCCACCCCCAGAGACGCAAACTCTACCCTGAAGATATCTTTCTCCGCCTCCGCATCCTCATACGGATGGACTAGATGGGATACCCTTCATTTAGATTTGCGTAGCCGCTCCTACATTTTGGCGCATCTATCACACTGCGATGCAGATTTCTTTGTCGAGATTCTCCCCGGACCAGGATCTATTATTTTGTTTTCTCGCTGCAGTTGCCAGCTTTTCATTGTATCTTTTCTTGCTTTTGTTTTTAGTTTTTGGTTTTTGGTTTTTCGTTGACTTGACGTATATCAGGCATTGGACTTGTGGCCTTGTGACCTTTCATCCCATTTAGGGCCTTTTTATATACAGGTTGGGGTTTCGGCCTTAACCTCCCACCCTCCTGGGGTGTTGTTTGTAAGAAAAAAAAAATATTAATTTTGATTTCATGATGTTTTTTTTGTTTGTAGTTATCGTGTATGGAGTACGGGCTTTCTCAACCTTAGTTGTCTTTCACGAGAAAAAAAATAATAGAATTGTGATATTACAATAATTTAATCGGAATAACACAAGTATGAATGGGTCGGTCAAGCGGTTGAACAACCTATCACAAAGACAACCCGAAGACCGTTTAGAGTCTAGAAGACTTGGAGTACTCAGATAACCTAGGAAGACCTTAGAGGACCTGGAGTCCATAAGACAACCTGGAGGGCATTTGGAAAAATGAACACCTAATCTGAGTGTAAGATAGCTCGACCGCGATGGTCGAGGTTTGGGCCAGATGACTTGAGGAGAGTCGTGACGACTCGATAATCACCACAGACTTGCAGTGATAAGAAAGAATCTATTGATGACTAGGACGTGATTAGGATGATAATAAGCATGAAGCAGATAAATCAAACCCGAGCAGGCTGACCACAGACAACCCAGCTATTGAGGGGGCTAAGGTACAACTGCAAGCTCTCTACAATCTCAACACATTACATACAACTTTTTGCTTACAAAGAATTTATCATCTTCCTCCTTTGTACTAACGTGGGCGCCAGAGTGCTAACAACGGGAGCTCTCTCCTGACCCTTTTTGCATGTCTTTTTTAGCGCTAAATATAGATTAAAGCTCATAACCAACCAGTCTAGCCTTGACTTGAGTCGTCAACACATCATTTGACACTGTCTATAGGGATCTTTTGAAGGAACTGAGAGCTTCCTACCCATTTTACGATCACATGGCATAGCTGAAAGAAAAGAGATGCAGAGGAATTTGAGCAAGGAGTTTAGGGAGGCTTGGACATATATGCATCGTCCTTTAGCACTAGTCCAAGACATCGTCGTGGGATTACCACATGTTGACGAACATTTTCAATCAACAGTTAATTAAGAAATAAACGGTATTTTAAGTGGAATTTTTTGTTATTTTATTAGAAGTTGATTAGCTTTTTTCCATGCATTGTTCAAGGGAAAATCAATCACAACATCTTGCCCAAAAAGCTTCCTCTATGCCCCAACAAATGTCTCCACCTTGGTCTCTGTGTCATTCTTAGCCTTGGGGTCCAAGAAGACCTTCATGATGTTTGATCCATCAAGTCCGTATCTGACACGCTTCCCAACAATTTCAGTTGGGTAAACATTGTCCTCAAGCATTGCATCATGCACGGCTGCGAGCGTGCGTATTCTAAGCCTTTGAACTGCAAACCCTTCTTGGGCGGGCGAACTATCCTTCTGATAGCAATATGTTCCACTTCATTCCTAATGAACTTATTCTCTAGCTCTTTCACGAGCCTAGGCTGAATCTTGCGGAATGACTTCCTCAGACAGTAAGGCACATGAATCACAACAACATTCTTGCTGCCGTAAACATCAATTCGTGATACAGAGTTGATGTATAGGTCCTTCAAGTCACTCTTGATCTTTTGGTTGGTGTTTTCCAGATCAAACAAAGCTTGAGCAATATTTTCCTCAAACTCAAAGGGTTCAACACCATTGTCCTTAGAGATGTCAAAACGGGCCTGGGCCCGCGGGCTAGGTCGCCCCGCCAAAAGAGTGGGTTGGGCTGGGATATTAGAGGCCCGCTGGGGAGCGGGCTTTGGCGGGGCGGGCTTGGCGGGCCGCGGGCTGGCCCGCCTTAACAAAAAAAAAAATAAATTAAATGTATGTAAATTGTAATTATGAATTTATGATGTATAATGTATCAATGTTAATGTTAATGTATTTTTTTCCATATAAGTCACAATTTTTTTTTTTTTTTTTT